AAAACTAAATTCTTTCAACAATTTGCAATTTCTGTTCTTACATCCAATTCCATAAGGGATTGATTATACGTAGCGATAGAAATTGTTCGATAATTCAATATAAGCGCTTCCGCTTTCTAAAAATAAAATTTCCGATGGCACAATTTTTTCAATGGATATATACCAATTCCTAAATTGTCAATTTCGTTTGAATTTTGTTTTAAATTAGCCGATTCATTATAATATAAGTAATTTAGTTAAATATGGATGGTAACCAGTTTGATTTCAAACTAACATTTCCTTGCTACGGCAGAAACACATATCCGATTTCTAACTGAGGGAAACTCTATGCAGTTTACAAGGTTTATGATGGTGAGTAGCATTACCCTATGGAACTTCCAAAACGATACAGGTCACTCGTTAATTACCGCTGCATGTAATATAGTCTTGACTGAAACATGAATAGTGCTGCTTTAATTAATAATATAGTAAATAATTTTATAATTGGATTTGAAAGTTATTTCATAATATGATAAAATAGATTATCACGAATGTTATGATGATATATGTAAATTTATAGAAAAGATAACTTAATTTTATGAAATTATTATATGGTGAGAATATATATGGTAAAAAGATTCTTATTTCAAAACTTTTCAGAATCAAATTTTTTTTTTGATACTAGAAAAAAATTTTTTTTTATCAAACTTTAATAATAGAATCATTTATTGCTCTATTCTTGTAAAAAAGACATAAAATTACAATAATATATTAAAATTTTAAACTAGTTTTATCGAAAATGTTTAAATTATCATTAGATTATTATTAATAACTAATAAAAATTGGATATAAATAATATATAGTAGAAGTATAAATAAAAAATAAATCTATAAAATGATTAAATTCAATTAATTATATTAAGAAAAATTTTATAATTCTATATAAAATAAATCAATAAGAGCAATCATTTAAAATAACTCATTATATAATATGTTAATATAATATATATATATATATTAATATATTCATAAAAATGTGATATTTTAGTGGATTCTAGATCAAAACGATAAAAAAAATTGATATATACATATGTTCGATAAAGTTTAATTATAGTTATAAATATTTTAAGTTTGTATTAGATAGAGTGAGATAGCGAAAGAGCGAGAATACTCAGCTGAGTGCACGACAGTACCATATTGCAATGTCGCTTATGTAGCGGAGCTACAATGAAAGTAAATACAATAATATATTTTTTATATATAATTGATTATTTCAAATGAATTTCAGTGTAATGCAATATAATATATATTATGTAACTCTTTATTTAACAAAAACTTATCTTGAATAAGTTTTAGTAAATTCCAGAATATTAACACATATACCAATTTATATAAATCCATAGATACATCATTTTATGGTACAAATATATTATTTAAATTCATAGCTAAATTGTTATATGATATTCAATCTATCTATTTATCGAAATCCATAGGAGCAAATCAAAACACACTCCCATAAAATTTCAAATTAGAAAGGTTGAATGTTTTTTTACATAAACTTGCTTATCTTCACATGTATAAGAAACTCACTAATGAATCAATTTGAAATTCATAGATCAATTGAAGTTTCAGTTGAAAAATCTTTATCTCTTTCATTTGAATTCAATGTTTTTTATTCCGATATGAGATCCGATATGAATCAAAATTCAATATATTAATGTTATATTATCACAATAAATCTTATATCCATTAAAAAAATCATATAAGCATTGCACTTTTCTTTTTCACATTATTATTGCATATTAGATATTTTTTTTTTATTCATTTTTTTATTCACATTAATTTCTATGAATAAAATTATTTCAATTATTATTTATTATTGTGCAATTTAATTTTATGTGAAAATTATTTAATTAAAACTTTATTTTAAATAAATATTCAAATATATATTATTTCATCAAATTCCATAATACAACAATGTGTTACTGAAATAACATTATTAACAATTGAATGCTGATTGTGAACATTAGAAAAGAACTTGATAGAAAAAAAAAAATAATAATATTCTAATTGCCAATATGTTCCAAATATTATATTTGTATGTATTAAATATAAGAAACTTTAGATCAACAATCTTTCCCATTGCTAAGATAATGTTGCTTTGTTCTCAGTTTGGTTCACAACGTTTGTGTAACATATATCAGAAATAAAAGTGTAGTATTAGAAATAAAAAAAAAATTAATAAATTTATAATATTTAGTTATACATAAAAAAACAATTGCAATATATATAGATATGTGATTCATATTATTAATATCCAGATCTACTATTCTCTTTAAAGAATAAAAAGAATTGAGTGCAAATGAAATAAAGATAAAGATTTGTCAGTGATTTGATTGGATATTTAATAATCTGAAATTCAAATTGATTCAAGTATCATTAGTATTTCAGACTTTTTTGTACATGTGAAAATAATTTAAAAAAAGAAAATTGTGCATATATATAAAACACATTCAATTTTTCTAATTCAAAATTATAGAAATATGTTTTGATTTGTTTCTATGGATTTCGATAAATATGCAAGTTGAATGAAATACAATGATTCATCTATGATTTTAAATAAAATATTGTATCTGTAATCATTGTATAACTCCAAATATTGTGGAATTTGCTACAATTTGTATGAGATAAGTTTCTGTTAAATAACAAAATATATAGATTTCAATTTGCATAAAAACATATTAAAATTTTTTTCAAACGATATAAAAATGTCACATAGTTTTATTATACAATATTTATGTACATTATATTACCTTATATTGAAATTCATTTGAAATAATCAATTATATATAAAAAAATATCAATGTATTTACTTTCATTGAGAGATTCTGCTATGTAAGACATTGCAATATAATATTGCCGCGCACTTAACTGAACATTCTTGCTCTATCTAATAACAAATAAATTAAAATCCTTATAACTCGTTAATTAAGAACATATATATATATATATATATATATGAACTTTTTTAATTATTTTGATCTAAAATCCATCCTTCAAAGAATGGATTCCATATTTTTATGAACATTCTGTATAATTATATGTTATAAAAAAATATTTTGATAAAATGTATTGTATTCAAAAGAACTGATTAAATAACGTTTTGATTTTTTCTTCTTTTTCATATTTTCATATTTTAATATTAAAATAACTTTTTTTAAATTTTTTGGGATATTTAGATATTTTTTAATATCAAATTAATATCATTATCAATGTCTATACATTGACTATACTATACATACTATACTATTATAATATCATATGAATTTTCAAATTGAATTAAAATAGATTATAAATAAGATTATTTCAAATCCCAGTATCTGAGAATTAATTATATAAAAATTTTTCTTATTTTCATATATATTATTGTAAATCATAAAAAAGAATTTTTAAAAATATATAAAAATTCTTAAATTAATTTATTTAAATTTAATTTAAAATAATTTGATATTAAAAACTATCTATTTTAAATTATAAATTTTTTCGAATTCTATTTTATAAATAATATTTTTTTTAATTTTATTTATTTTAATATTTACTTAAAATTACTTAAAATTACTTATATTACTTATATTTACTTAAAATTACTTAAAACTATTTATATTTACTTAAAATTTCATATAAATTCATATTTGTTCATTGAAGAACTGAATTTATAAAATGCATATATTTAAAACTGATTAAATATGTAAAATCACACCATCGAAAAAATTAAAATTTTAGAATGCCAAATATTATAATTATCTGACTATTTTAATGTTGATTTTTTCAAAACAATATATATTTATAAGTATAGATTGATTAAAAATTTATTAATTTTCAATGTCTTCTATTTTCCATTAAATATTTGCAATCTTATTTCTAAAAACCATTATTTCTATTTTTATAAATTTATAAACTTTTTAAAATTTATTATTATTTTGTATTATCTACATGTTTATTTTCAAATCATTATTATGATCATTTTTTTCTGATTTCGAAAATTTTTCTGTTTGAATAATTTTAACGAAAGAATATACAATCATATTATTATATTATTATTTTGAAATATATTCATTACCATCATATATTATGAATATATTATCATATATTTATTTGAAATATATTCAGTTATCTATACTATTATCTATCTTATACTATATTCTTATACTATATTTTTGAATTCGTGAATTTTCTGATAACAATATTTGTGATTTCACAGTCTACAATAATTTTTCATTGCTTTTTCTACTTTTATTTTAATTTTTTACATGAATATATCATACATTATTTCACATGTGTGTGAATGACATGTTCTTTATTAAACAATATTGCTTGTTACAATTGAATAGATTTGTGAAATATCATATATACAAGCTGTTTCGCACAGAACAAGAATTATTTTTTACATTTAATTAAAATTTTATATAGTTATGACATTCCTTACGTTCTCTAGAATTGTCATAAAAATTTTCGGGGATTTTGATTTAGCAAAGAAATTTCATTTTCTACAAAATGATTCTTCATTGTTACGCAAAATAATATTTAGAAGAAATTTAATTAAAATGTTTCATACCTAAAACTTTTCAAAATATTATAAAATAAAAAAATGTTATTTTCTAACATCAATAATCTTAACAATCAAAGTTATTCTAATTAACCATATTATTAATCTATTAAAAGAAAGAGAATTCAATTTTAGGATGATAATAATGAAAAATAATTAAAATATTATATTGATATATAAAGAGCAAAATTTATAAAAAAATAACAATAAAAAGTTGTGAGAATACAATAAAAATTTTCAATTTATAATATGATCAATTTACAATATTGTTATCCTTAATAATAATTAAGATATATGTAAAAATATATGTAATTTAATATTGTTGATCTTAACATTGTAGCATTGTAAATAATATTATATTATAATTTATATGAATTAAAAATATAAGATTACAAATTTTTTTTTATTATGTTCAGGTTCCTTGGGTACTTCAGTATTTGACACGGACGTGTACCTTGTTGGCGCCAGTGGAGGTGTTTATGCTCTTCTCGCAGCTCATCTAGCAAACGTTCTTCTCAATTATAATAACATGGAATTCGGCATTGTTCGATTAATAGGCATCTTCGTAATCGGTAAGGTGTAAAAAAGTATATAAATTTTTTTAAATTTTTTCTTTTTTAAGAGAGCATTTTATATTTATGAAATTCAGATAGATAGATAGATTAGGATTTTAATTCTTTGTACTCTACTATCGTTACAGTGATATTAATCATAAAAATTGTTTATTTGCTTTATTTTTATTAATAATTATAAAATAAAAATATATAAAATAAATAATATAAAAATAATATAATATATTATAATATAAAAATAATATACATAAATATAAACCATAAATTCACAAATTTTTATAATCTTTTTTTTTCAAACATAAAATTTGATTTTAAAGAGTTTTATTGGAAAAATGTGCTAAAAATACTGATCAAAATTTTTGATTTGCGATTAAACTTTTCATTAAAAAATTCATTAAAAAATTAAAGACAATTATACATATAATATTTTTAAAGGTTTAAAAATTAAGGATTTTATAATTAAATTAATATACATTTATATCCTAACATTAAGAGATTATATAATTTATATATTTTTCTTTAAAATATATTTTATATATCATTTGAAAATATATTTTTATGACAATTTTTATTTTTATTTTTTATTTCGTTTCATTTTGTTCATAATTTAAATGATCATTTATTATTCATTATATATTAACCATTGTATTAATAAAAAGTTATGAGATAATTCTTTGAGATTTGAAATCTATGTTAAATTAAATATTAAATATTTTAAAATTACATTATAATTATATTATAATATATTATAATTTTTATATAATTTTATATTTAATTTAATTCAATTTTTATTCAATAATATATATATTATTATTTTACATATATAAAAATTTACTTATTAAATTTACTTATTAACTACAAATATTCTATTATATTATTTTGATTAAAAAATACATAAAATATGCTTTTCATTCAAGTTTATTTTTTAATTCAGTTGTGTAGATACTTTTATATTACTTTATATCTTTTTCATATTATTGCCATAAAATAGAATTTAAAAAAAAAATAACAAATGCAATATAAGTTCTATTTTTTTCTATCATATCGTTAAAATAAGATAAATAATAAGATAAATAAAGATAAATAAACTGTTAAGCAGTAATTATTTATATCATGATGACGGAAAAGTCATCATATATAGAATTTCAAATGTATAATATTAATTATGATAATTAAATATTTTCAACTCACAATTAATTATCATTTTAAAAATACTTCTTAATTTTAAAAAAGCATGTTAATATGTTTGCAACCATTAATATAAAGTTATATTTTAATAATAAAAGTTATATATTTTATTTTTTTATTTTTGATTTTATAAAAATAATAATTATATAATAATAAAACTGATAATAATTTTCTAAATCATATTAATATTTAATATATTTAATATAAATAGATATATGAATGTTCTATTAATTTTATGTAATAAAATTATTTTTAATTTTTAAATTTAATTATCGATTGGTCATTTAATTTAATTTTATACATTTTTCTATTATTTTTTATTAAATTTTTTTAATTAATTAATATAATAATATCTTGCAAATAAATGATTCTTGATAATTATAAAAATTATAAAATTATTTGACCATACATAATTTATAAATTTTAAGTATATATATAATTTTATTATTTTTATTTTTTATTATAATTTTATTATTGTTTTTTATTGTTATTATTGTTTATTAATTGTTTTCTTGCCTATTTTATTCCCAGAATAATGTTATTTGAAGCTTATTATTATTATGGGATATGTATTTATATTTTTTTATTTCGATTTTTTGTATAAAATAAAAATAAGTTATCATTTTTTGTATATTATTGAAGTACAATATAATTTTTATTTAATTATAATTATTAAAAAACAATATTGCAAGAATAGACAGAATTTTTATTTATCTAATATATCTAATATATATTATAAAATAAATTAATGTATAATTTATTATACACTAATATTTATTATAATTTAATATATTATATATTATATATTATATAATATATATTATATATTATATAATATAATATATATAATATATTATATAATATATTATATACATATATAATTATATAAATAATAAAAAATAATAATAATAAATAAATAATAAATATATACATATATACATATATAAAGTTCCTTGTATATTAGCAATGTCTTTCTTTAATATTCAACGTCGTTAATAATCAACGCTAGGATAGATAGGATATTGACTCGTAATATTAAAATTCCGAAGAAATTATATATGTATTGCTAATCGAAATATTAACGATTAGCAATTCTCAACTTTTATGCATACTGTTGAATCTAAAATTCAAAAATTCTAGTATCGTTGAACCATTTCTTCACGCAGAAATTTATTAAAATATAACTATAAGATATAATATTTCTTATCTCTAACAATCCTATTGCATATCTTAAAAATGTGTTACACATTTAATTAAGAAAAAAAATTATTGAGAATTGAAATAAATTAATTCATTTATTATGCAATTTATTATATATATATGTTACTGTTTCTCACATATCACATAATTTAATTATAAATGTTAATTCAAATAATGATATATGTCAATTATAACTTAAAAATAACTTAAAAATATATAATATATCATAACATTTAATAAACAAATTTAATAAAGAAATGATTTCTATTTTCAGCAAGTGCCGACGTGGGATTCGCGATTTATGATAGATATTCGGCTGAGCAAATGGGTCCTCCTGTTTCATATGTGGCACATCTGACCGGTGCATTAGCAGGTCTCACGATTGGCTTGCTGGTGCTGAAAAATTTCGAACAACGTCTCCACGAGCAACTTCTTTGGTGGGTGGCGCTTGGTGTCTACGCAGCCTGCACAATCTTTGCAATTATGTACAATCTCATGCATCCAGACTATCCATGACGCGAGATCAGCTTCGCGTATGGACAACCGCGAAATTCGTAACGCGAAGCTGATTAATATCGAATTCTAATAAAGAAGAAATTAAAGAAAAAAAAAAAAAGAAAACACGCGCAGAGGACTAGACAGAAGATGAATAATTGAAGAAATAATCAAAATAAATATCAGCGAAAATTCATAGGAATAAATTTTAAATTATTAAAGAGGTCTTGAAAAAAAAAAAGAAGAGTGAAAAGAAAAAAATCTCGGTTCTGTACGGTGAAGTAAAAAAGACGATGGAAAAACATTTTTGTCGTGTTGTGTAAGATAAATTGAAATAATTTATGAATCGAAGTGAACTAAAAATAAACGGAAAAATTTGTTTTTGTGAGTCTGAAACGTGAAAGAGAACAATTATTATACTTGAGAAGATTTGAGAAGAGTTTAAAAAATGGATAAGTGATTATGTTAAATGAAAAAGAATATGTTAGTGAGATATGATGTCAAAAGATTTTTCAAATAAACTGTATAATAAAGTGAATGTATGGAGAACGCAACAAAAATTAAAAAGAAAAAGTTTTTGGTAAGGAATACAGTAATACAGAAACAAAGAGAAAATAATTTTCTAATTACTGGCGTACATATAAAATTTTTAAAACTAATATTAAAATTCAAAGAAAGTCGAGGAATTAATATTTTAGCTACTTTGATTATATTTAATTATCAGTACAAACTGAAAGAATAAAAGAAAGACAAATGTTCCAAGAACCGTGACACGTAATACTCTCTCAGTCATAGAAAAATAAACTTGAATATAATAATAGTAATTACTATGAGAGAAGAAACAAAGAAGAAGCGAAGAAAAAGAGCAGAAAAAAAGAGCAAAAGCAATCCCAGATGATCCCTCGTAAACATATAAAATTAACTCCAAAGAATTAAAAAATGTTTAAAAAAACATGACAAAAAAAATTAATTAAAATTAATTAAAATTATTCGTTAATTCCATGTATCATATAATTTTTACGCATTTTCTAAAAAAAATTTCAAAATGAAAGCAAGCAAATCAATTAAAAAAGAGGACAAAAGTGAAATATTAATCGATCGTTGATCCCTTCCCCTCGAACGCTATCATTTTTTTATTTTCTCAATAAAAAACCAAAGATTCGAAATACCTCTGTTCCATTTTCGGAACTTATATATCATTTAAGTGCGATAACCACGAAACGCGCATTCCGTCGGATAATATAAAAAAATGAAAAAGAGCGGAAAAAGAAAGATACAAGAACGAGATTAAAAATCTATCCATTTAGAAGGGGAAGTGGATTTGCAAACATAAGAGACGCGATTCTTCAGCTTATTTTCTCGCGTATCGATTCTTTCAAGGCGCGAAAAAACCAAAGAATTCTAAACCAAGAATCTCCTTTGTCCTTTTCAATTTCACTTTTAAACGAATGACAGGCGAAAAACAACGGAGATGTTGGATGAGGCAAAAGATGTGTGTTCCAGAAATCCCTCATGATGTCAAAGAAACAAAATATTAGATACAAAAATAGAAAAAAATTGAGAAGAGAATTTACGGAAGCAATCATTCATGATCATGAGATAATTCGAAAACGAAAGAAAAATAGTCTTTTGTCATTAGAAGGATCGATCGTAATTGGAAAAGATTGTCGGAAACAAAATATCATGTAAAATGGAGGAAATGAAAAATTAAAGAATTGAACATCTTCTGGTAATAATTTTCTTATAATAATAATAATAAGTTATTTATATCAAATATTTATATCAAGTTATATTTGTTTGAGAAATGCTCATGAAAAATCATAAATTCGTTGATGATGATATCTGCTACGAAAAACATTATTGTGTTCATCCATTGATAAGAGAATAATCGAAAAATATAGCAGTCAGAAAAGATAAAAATATTGTTATAAAAATTAATGATGAAATTTTTGATAAAACGATCAACGATTTGTAAAAATATACAATGACAAATGAGGGAATAATGAAGTGACATCTAGGAAGAAAATTAAAACATAAATAATTATAACTAAAACTATGAAAAAACATTTAAAAACCATCGCGCTGCCTTCGTTTATCTTCAGGGTATAATATACTGTGTAATTATCACATTATGTATAAAAATATTATATTCGTTGGACAAGATGCTTTTTTTAATAATACAAACTGCTCGATCGCTATGCTTCTTCGATCGATCGTGAATCGTTCATTATTATCACCGGCGAGGTGCAATCAATGCTTATCTCCTCTACCGCGTGGCCGAACGAGCAATCGATCCACACTCTAATCTGTATACCATTGTAAATAATTCTGTACATATATGGAGATAACGGGAACTACACGTATCATTTTGTATGTGTGAGTGTGTATATATATGCGTGTGCAAAAATGAAGTGAGAATAATATTAAGCGTGTTGGACCGAAGAAAAAAAAAAAAAAAATCTCGGTCGACCGTGCGGTCTAGTCTGATAATCGCGAGATTGCGTAATTGTTCGTATTAAAACTGAAAAAAAAAAAACAAAAGAAGAACAAACGTATTTTGAATTCGGTTTTACAAATTAGAATGATTTTCTTCATAAAACTTCTTCATGAGTTCACATAAGAGCAATATTCTCGCGAATCCTTTTCGAGATTTTTACTTTCAAATAAATTCATCTCTTAATATTTGCTCGAGAAAAAACGAAACGACGAAGAAGAAATTTTTGCGACTTTTGAAATGACTTTTTCGATCACTTTTTTCGTGTTCGTTAAGAATATAACTTAGTATGACAATCTTGAAAAAATACATCACATTAAAATAAATAAATCACGGCAAAATTTTATTTAAAAAAAGCTTTACCTTGTTCGAAAAAATATCAAATAGCATGAACATGAAAAAATTCACATAAATAATTCTTCGTTCAAACGAAAAGACGAGACAAATGTTCATCATTTCGATTTTTGTGAGTTGTCCTCAAAACGGATATGTTCATTCTATGAAGATCCATTTGTAATTAAATTGCGAATAGTTGTAGATTGCGTTTTGGTTTACAAGTTGTATCGTGAATTTTTGTTAAACGGAGACACGTATTCTCCAAGTTTTCTCGTAATTTATTTGCTTATTCTCGTTTTTTGTCTCGCGAGTATTGTCATAATGATTATAAAATTATATTTATATTAATATTTTTTCATCGATGAAAATGTATCGCATAATTTCAGTCGCGATTTCAGTCTCCTCGAGTCCATTTAATATTCGTTAATCCTCGTCTTCTTTTTCTCTTCTTTTTCTCTTCTTTTTTTCTTTTTTCAATCGTCCTTTTTACATACAATTTTTTTATTTTTATTCCACAATTTATTTTCTTCTCATATCAAATTATATTTCGTTGAGAATTTTCAAATAAAATAATACACAATCAAGATTCATTCTCCAGTGACATTGTTTCATTGGATTCATCAAAAGTAATTATTTGCGCAAGTTTTACGAGAAAAAAGAGCGAAAGAAAGAAAAAGAGAGGAGCAAATTTATACCAAAAAGTCGTTGGCGAAAAGACGAACGAATTTAAATCGAGGTGATTAACGATGCTAGTCAATTAGTAGCGACATCAAATAAGACATTGTTGAACAACATTCTTTTCGTCTTGAAAGAAGTAACTTAAAAATTTGCAACATGGTAATTCATTGAGATTTCTGATATGTTTCTTATGATCATTTATGCTTATAAATCATTTCAAAAATCAATTCAATTAATTAATAAAATTAACAAAATAATGACTGTTACTAAGAAGATCTGATAATCAAACATAATCTTCACAATAATAACAATTAAATTTCAATCATTTATAAGTAATTTTTGTAATTTTTTTGATTAAGAAATAGATAGCATAATTTTTAAAAGATAAAATTAATTCATAGAAACTTTTGTTTCATTCTGAAAAATAGTCAATATTATAATTAATATTCTAATATATTTTCTGGAACGATTTAACCAACGTAATTATTATTGTTAAAATTATAATTATTAATATCTATTCTATTATAATGATCGTCTAATAATCAAATTTCAACTATATTTTATTTATTGGAAATTTTATTTTTTTATTTTTAAAAATTTCTATTAAATTTCTATTTTTTCTATTTAATTTTCAAATTTCTATTTCATGCAATCTATATTTCTATTGTTTATTTGGTAATTAATTTCATTACTTTGGAATAAGTTTATATTTTATTTTCAATTCAATCGTGTATCAGTTTTTTTTCTTCCACTCATCTGCACATTGCATTATTAAATTGCACAAAATAATAAAATAATATCAATCATAGTATATTGATCATATCATAGATTAATAATTGTTTCAATAATATAATTAAAAAGAAGAAAATACTTTCAAGAATTATAAAAAATTCAAATTAATTAAAGAATTAAATAAAAATTCAATAAAATTATAATTTTCAATATTTGTTTTCTTCAGATTTTCTTAATAAAAATAAAATGTTAAAAAAATTAATTTAAAAGTAATCATAAATAATTTCAAAAATGAATGAAAAAAAACCAAAATTTCGTCATTATATTATAACAAATATCATTATGTCTATTTTCTTACAAAAAAAAGCAATTATTTCAGAAATTCTCAAAAAATATTGAATATTATTTATTTCAACCAATCTAAAATGCATCAACATAGCGAATTTGATTTTGAATCAAAAGTTATCTTTGTATAATTATAATATCAATCCTCGACTGGTTTGCATTTATTTATTTAAAAGAATCGCGCTCAAAGTTTATTATCGCGAGATAAATGGAAAAATTATACTCGCGAAATACCGAAATTTCTCTAACATATGTGACGACAAGAGGAGTTTAAAGTTATATAAACGTTATATTCGTTAAATTATTTGTAAATTATTTGCCAGTTGTAAAAATACATATGTGTTCATATCGAAGAAGCTTAAGTGTCAACGATATAAGATCTTCGATTCTTCTCATTTCTTCTCCCTTCGAAATAATTACAAATTCGATTAAAAGA